GCCATCGATAAAAGGAAAAAAAAAACTTTTTCTGGCATTTATCTTTCTGGTATTTGGTTGTGGATGTCGCTGGAATTGCACAGAGTCTCCTCACTTAGAATAAATACTCTGCCTGGAGATTTAGAAAATTAGTCTTGCTTTCTACCTTTAATATTCCTGCCCATTCATCACCCCAGGACGTCAGTCTAACCTCTTGCAGGTTTGAAATGTCACAGTCCTGATGATTGCAAGAATTCAGTTTTCCTTATAGTTTGATAGTATTTCAATTGTATTCTTTGTGTATGTGTTCATGTTTGTGAGAGGAGTGTTTTGTTTGTGTGTTTATCTGTGCACCACATGCCTGCAGTGCCTGTGGAGGCGGGAAGAGGGTATAAGATCCCCTAGGTCTAAAGTTAGTTGTGAGCCACTAGTTGGAATTCAAACTGGGAATGGAACACAAGTCCTCCGGAAGACCTCTCAGCCCCTGAGCTGTCTCTCCAGCCCCTCAGTTCTGTTGTCAGTCTTCAAGAATGACTGGAACTTGCTCCATCCAACCATTAATAACATAGTAAGGAAAACTAAGTTTGTCGTCCACACCCACCTCCACTTTCCAAAGGAGGGGGAAAAAACGTTGACTTTTCATGTTAGCATAGTACACTTAAAGGGCTTTAAAATATTGGGCTAAGGAGATGGCTCAGCAGTTAAAGTTTCTGCCACGAAAGCGTGAGGCTTTGAGTTTGGGTCACCAGCACCCATGTAACAGCTGAGTTTTGTTAGGGCGCTGAGGCTAGAGGTGGATCCCCAGAGTTCACTGTGTACCAACTGGTGTGACTCGGGTTCAGGAGTGTCTCAAAAGACGAGGTGAGGAAGCATGGAGACACAAAATGCTGTCCTGTCTACACACTCACATCCATACACATAGGAGCACAACAAAAAGGAAAGCATGCTTGCTGTTTCAGAGTCTTAGTCTTGTTCCTGTCTCTGCCATTCCCCTGCTAGGTTCTCTCTGGCTTTTCCATTTGTCCCTCAGATCCATACCCTTTGAGGTTGCCCTGGTGGCTTTTCTAACAGGCAGGGTGGGGACATGGGACTGACCTCTTGACCCCTGCATGCTTTTACCTGCTGCTGCTTTTACCTGCAGTTGCTCTCATTTGCTCGTGTTCTGTTTAACACCGTTAACGTCGTTGATATATGTTAACGTCGTTGATATATCTCTATATACCTCTTTCCTGTGGGTAAGTCTCCACTCCCTGGTGTGATTTTAATTAACAGTCCTGGAAGGCAGGGATTATACCTCTATCACATTCTGTGAAGATTCACCCTAGAAGAAAAAATAAAATCGAAGATCTGTCCTCAAATGTAACTATTCAGGTAGTTTGTTTGTTTGTTTGTTTCATAAGCATTTTTTTTTTTTTTTTTTTTTTTTTAGTATTTGCTGCACTGGGGATGCATAGTCAGGGCAAATACCCTGCTCTCACATTCTACTTCAGACTACTCAATAAATTGGACACTCCAAGTTGGGTGGGGGGGGAGGAATAGGTGATTTGAAAGAATAAGATCCATGTGATCAATCAACTGTGGCACTTGGGGCTGAGGAGATGGCTCAGCAGGTAAAGCACTTGCCAAGCACCGTGAAGACCAGAGTTTGGATCCTGTATCCACATAAGCTCTGGATAGGTATGTCAGCCCACCGGTAATTCCAGTACTCAGGAGACCCAAACAGATCCTGGAGCTCTCTGTATGAGCAAGCTCTAGGTTCCATCAGAGACATGCCACATGGATATTGTTGGAAGTGATCAAGAAACATACCTGACATCCACCTTAGGCCTCCACATGCATGTACATACTTGTACACACGCACCCACACAGGTGAAAACACCATGCACACAGACACATACAAAGAAATATGTTGTTGTGTATATGTGTGGTCTGTGTCTATAGAGAAGGCTCGGAGCTTTGAGGTGTCTAGAAGATGTCATTTGAAATCAGTGGATACCTAGAAAGTACATGAGGATTGTTCAGATTTCACAGGAGTAGGCAAGATTGAGAAGATTAGATTAGGGTGTCAGATTGTAAGAAGACCAACCATTTAGCTAGCCAGAGTTCAACGGGGTCCATTAAAACTTGGATCATGGAAGTCATGAGGGACTATAGAGGTGACAGGGATCTGGGGTGGCCTTATATCAACTGTTTTAGCATTCTCTTAAGAACAAAGGGCTCTTTTAAAACAAGGGGGCAAGATGTGGCACACTGTAGTTAGGAGTCCTGTGGCTCTGCTGGTGGGGACAGGGTGACAGCTCTGTGAGCAGGGCTGCTTCATAGTCTACTGAGTATGAAGGGAAGAGATGACAGTGGCCGGAGCAAGCAGGATGGTTTAGGTTACAGTTCTGTGGGTTTTATTCTTGCTTTATTTTCTCGAAGCACTGGGAATTGGACCTATAGTTTTGTACCTGCTATGCAAGCAAACCAGTTGCTTTTTTTTTTTTTCTTTTTTTACTGTTTTGGGGTAAGAGAATCGAGATGGTTACTAAAGAAGAGAGAGAAGAAGTCACAAACTGGTGAATAAGAATGGTCCCATTAGAGCCATATATTTGAATGCTTAGTCATCAAGCCCATCACGGGTGGCCTTTCAGGTTTCAAAAGCACATGCCAAACCCAAGTCTCTCTCTTGGCCTAACAGATCAGGAAGTAGCTCTTAGCTACTTCTCCAGCCTGCTACTTCACACCTGCCTGCCACCAACTCCCCTCCCAGGATGGTTAATGAGCTAGTCCCTGAGGCTGTTAGTAAGTCCCCAGTTAAAATCTTTTTCCTCTAGAAGAGTTACCCTGGTCTTGGTTCCTCTTCATAGCAATAAAACAATGAGTAAGATACTGTTTGACTACAAATGTGTGTAGGGATACAAAACACAGGTGTCCTCACAAAGGATGGGACCCAATCCCATCTCTCAGCCCCACCATCTTACTTCTGAATCTCCATTTCCACATCCACCGCCAGGGAGTGCCTACCACTTACATATTAGCACTCCCTCCCTCCTTTGCTTGTGTATGTCCTCTTTGAGTCCAAGATCAAGATCACTTCTGAAAATACTGGCTAGCTCATGTATTGATCGCCAATTGCATTCCTCTCAGAGTTCTCCAACTGTTTGTTACTCCTGGAAAAGATCATTTCAGACACAAACTAGAACGATATTAAGCCATTTTGTGCGTGCTACCATATATATAGCAGGGTCTTCCATTTCCTATTTTAGTAGAATTTAGTGTTCAGTTTCATTGCATATTTTAAACATACTAGAAATAGGTTGACCTTTGACATTAGGACATGTTCAGTATGAAAGACGTGAAGCCTGTAGTCACTTGACCTGACTTGTTTGCTTTTGCTTACTAGAATTGCGGTGTCTCATAGAAGTCATCCCGTCCTGGAATCAGTTTCCAAAAGGGACCCTTAAGAAGATTATAATCACTTAAAACTCTATCAGAAGATGTATTCTTCCTCCGGTGATATTCAAATGAGTTTGTTTTACCTGCATCCAATTTACCTGTTCAGTTATAAAAATGGTTTTAAAAGCTTCCTGTTCTGCTCCATGCATTTTAAATTTGAGGTATATCTCTGGACACCTGTGCGCCTGGATTGTTGTTTTGTGCTTGAGGTCACCTCCACAATCTGTCGGTAGCCAGAGGTTCTGCCTGTCTGGAGGAGATAAAGCAAATGCTCTGCATTCTCTCTGAATTCTTTAGCCACCTTTGCTCCAGCTCTTACAAAAGAGATGCTGGAATTGCAGCTCTTATTTTCTTTCTGGTGTGTAACTTTGAAGGTTGCTTTGCAGTTGCCCTTTGGAGAAGTCTCCTTTGATATTTATTTGGTCAGTAAGTGATGGCTGCTTTGATTTGCCTACAATCCTAGATTATAGTCTCTGAGAAGTGAAGCACTGGATCTACGTTATGCTCAGTAGGAATTTATGAGTTTGGGGAAAGCAGTAGGAGAGGAGTCCAGGACACCTTTCAAGAAATCCTCCTTTTCTGTCAATGAATGGTGTCTTGGAAGTCTCAAAGTCCACTAGAAAGAGCACTGGGGTTTTTTTGTTTGTTTTGAACCTTGCAAACAGCAATAAATTTTTACCACTTATGGTCCTCACTCCCTACACAAATTTTCAGTTTACCTGTATTTGTCAGTGATGCTGATTGCTACACTCACCATATTGCAACAGGTTCAATAGTGATTTCTAAATAAGGGTCAAGCAAGACATGTCTTCATGTCCACTACAGCCCCCTGGGTCCAGTATGGAGAACAATGCCTCCTATGAAACAGTTCTTCGATGTTTTAAATTATGTTTAATTTACACGGGTACTCTTGTGACACCTTGCCCCTGTGGAGGTCAGAAGACAACTTGCAGGAGTCTTTGTCCATTCTCTCCTTCCATTGAATCCTGAGGATTGATCAAGTCCTCAGGCGTGGCCTCCAGTGTCTTTACCATCTTTAACCGGCTGAGCCATCTCACTGCCCCAAAGAGAAAATTTAGTGAGGTGACTCAGTTCTCAACTCTGACCACTGCTTTTGAACCGGCTAGGAAAAACATACTGGTCATTGTTAGACTGAAAACAACCTTCAGAGGGATGGCGAGGATAAGAACAGAGATGAAATTTGGCCACAGCTACGTGTCACACGGGAGCAACAAGGGTGGAGGGGCAGGGCACTCAGGGTGTCCCAGGCGCCTAGGAGGAGCACGAGACTGCGGGCGTGGGCTGGGGGCGTGGCCGGCGGGAAGGGGCGGGGCCCACGAGGAAAGGGCGTGGTCGGCGAGAGGGGCGTGGCCTGCGGGCAGGCGGGCGGCTCTGGCGGTTGGAGGTGGGTGGAGCTGCCCTTGGAGGCGGCACCGGCCTGGCCCCGAGGCCCGCCGCGCCCTATCGCGCCAGAGCCGAGTGGCCCCGCGGAGCCCGCGCGCTCCCGCCTGCTGGGGGAGGGCGGACAGGGCGCGGGGGACCAGACAGGCCGCGGCGGGCGCTGTTTCTCTTTCGCTTTCCCGGGCTCGGAGGCGGGCGCGCCGGCGGGCTGAGGAGCGGCGGCGGCCGCTGGGTAGGTACCGCGCGGGGGCGGCCCGGCCGCGCGCCAAGTTTGCGCCGGCGGCCGCGGCGCCCCAGACACCTGCCGCGCCGGGCGCTGG